CTCAGACTTTTTCCATTTTTCCGTTTTATTGTCTGGCTCACGGTAGGCACTCAATAAATGCTTGAATCAATGAATGCACAAATTGCTCAATTAACTAGGGCATGAATATGTTCTGTCTTTTATGGTATTAAAATTAGCCCTGGGGAAAAGATTTGAAATATTTTTAAACAAGAAGGTAGTTGACTCTGACTAATTTAAAAAGTAGCTCATCCCTCAGTGGTTGGAGCGTCGGCCTGCGGACTGAAGGGTCCCTGGTTCAATTCTGGTCAAAAGCATGTACCTTTCGGGCTCTATCCCTGGCCCTGGTCAGGGAGCGGGAGGCAACCAATCAATGTGTCTCTGTCACATGGATATTCCTCTCTGTCTTTCCCCCTCTCTTCCACTCTCTAAAAATCAATGCAAAAAATATCTTCAGGTGAGGATTAACCAAAAAAAAAAAAAAAAAAGGAGCCCAGATGGATTTGTATTGTAACAGAGACCAAATTAAACTACAGAAATTGAGCTCTTCTAGATTTTCAGGGTTCAGCCAGAAGCCTTGGAAGGACCTGGGTTCCTTGTGAAGAAAACTGTATGGTCCACACCCCAGGACACTGCGCCTTAGTGTGAGCATCTCATTCATGCAGGAAGCTCATTCTTGAAAACCTGAATAGGAATAAAGACTTGTGAATTGAAACTGACTTCTCTCTTGCCAGGTAGTACTATTTCATAGTTGCTTCTTTGTGCACTGCTGACTGACCTTTAAGATGGACCCTTAAAAAACTATGCTTCCAACTCTTCAAGTTAAAATCTATAATCAAATGTTTACATGTACAGGGTTGTTCTACATGTTTAAAGAAAATGCAGAGAATTCTTTTGTTGGGAAAAATTGTTGAGCTCATTGCATCCCTGTAGTGTGGATAGTCATCATCTGTTATGTACTTTAATTTATTACTAAATTAAATTATTTTAATTATTCACTTTATTTTTTTAAAGTAGTTTATACCTGGTTTTCTGCCAGGAAGGATTTGGAAGGGGAGTTGTTTGTTTAACTGATCTCTGCAAATATCAGTTGGGCCTTTGTCTGTTTTTATTGGTGTGTAGGGGGTTTTTTTATTGCATTTTAAGGTGAAATGTACACAGTGGTGGACTTTTGTTACAAGTGCTTCTGCTAAATGATTTAAAAGGCTCTGTACTTTTTGTATACTTGACAAGAATTTTGATTCCTGAATTTCATCCATTGTGTGATCTCACATAAAATGTAGTTAATGAAGCTGACATCACTCATACCCATAAACTCTTCCTTGGCTTCTACTTTAACAGGCAGCAACAGCTCACGTATGCACTGTCAAGAATCACCCATGAAGGAGAAGTACACTGGGTGCCAAGGTCACAGGACCTAGCAATCTCAAAAGCCCTGTCTGGAATGACGTTCTGGGTGTCACAGGGGAAGCCGTGCCCTGTCCCTGCCCCCCACTCACCTGCTTTCCCATGGTACTCTGTTTTTCTTAACAGATGAGAGATTATTTCCTTCCCCAACATGAGTTGACTTTTTTCACCTGTAGGTGGGATAGTATATTAGCAACAACAATTTAAAACCCTTTATGGGTTTTTAAAGATAAAGGTTCATTTACATTTTTAAAAAATTACCTCTGTTATGTAATTAAGAAAGGGGCAGAATTGTACAAATAATATTTTTAGCTTTCGGACTTTGAAAAAGAAAGTCTGTTCTTGCATTTTAAGTAATGCCTTTGATGTCCCAGAAGTTCATAACCCCTGAAATTCATAACCTGGTCCCGAAAGATTTGGAAAACTGTCCATTTTCCCCATCCCTACCCAAAAGTGTGCATGCAGAGGGGGCAAAACATCACAGAGAATTTTAAAGAAGTATTTATCATAATTAGCCTCTGGACTTAATCCTGCATGCTGACTCTACTCATTTTTCTTTCAGAAAGGAAGGGTAGTCTTCAAGTTTTCTTACCTTCGGTTGTGGCTAAAATCAAAAGATTTGGGTTCTCTCTTAGTGTAAAGACATCCCCATAGAATCTGTAAGATTTTACATTTTTATGTGTAGAGAATGAGGACTTTGCAGCAATTACCCAGGTTTCTGAGGGCCAAACCTGCTTTACCATATCGTGACATACTCTGTAAGAAGTGATGAGTTGCTACATGAGGCCATTGTACTTTGTTTTCTGAACAACAGGAAGGGAAAAAAAAAGTAAAGCTCAAACACGTAGAAAGCTCTTTTCTATTGCTTGAGTCCTCATTTTCTTTGCTGAAATGTAACATGAACTTGGACTCTGTGGCTATACTGTATGCATCTGCATCATTATTTTTTTTTTGATTAGTTAAATCTTTATTGTTCAGATTATTACATTTGTTCCTCTTTTTCTCCCCATAACTCCCCTCCACCCAGTTCCAACCTTACCCTCCTCCCTCACTCCCCACCCACTGTCCTCATCTATAGGTGCACGACTTTTGTCTAGTCTCTTCCCGCTTCCCCCTCACCCCTTTCCCCCCCAAGAATAGTCAGTCCATTCCCTTTCTATGTCCCTGATTCTATTATAATAACCAGTTCATTCTGTTCATCAGATTATTTATTCACATGATTTTCAGATTCACTTGTTGATAGATGTGTATTTGTTGTTCATAATTTGTATCTTTACCTTTTTCTTCTTCTTCCTCTTCTTAAAGGATACCTTTCAGCATTTCATATAATACTGGTTTGGTGGTGATGAATTCCTTTATAGCGTTTTCTTATCTGTGCAGCTCTTTATCTGACCTTCAATTTTGAATGATAGCTTTGCTGGATAAAGTAATCTTGGTTGTAGGTTCTTGGCATTCATCACTTTGAATATTTCTTGCCACTCCCTTCTGGCCTGCAAAGTTTCTGTTGAGAAATCAGCTGACAGTCATATGGGTACTCCCTTGTAGGTAACTGACTGTCTTTCTCTTGCTGCTTTTAAGATTCTATCTTTGTCTTTTGCTCTTGGCATTTTAATTATGATGTGTCTTGGTGTGGTCCTCTTTGGATTACTTTTGGTTGGGGTTCTCTGTGCTTCCTGGACTTGGAAGTCTATGTCTTTCACCAGGTAGGGGAAGTTTTCTGTCATTATTTCTTCAAATAGGTTTTCAATATCTTGCTCTCTCTCTTCTTCTGGCACTCCTATAATTCAGATGTTGGTACGCTTGAAGCTGTCCCAGAGGCTCCTTACACTATCTTTGTATTTTTGGATTCTTTTTTCATTTTGCTTTTCTGGTTGGGTGTTTTTTGCTTCTTCGTATTTCAAATTTTTGACTTGATTCTTGCGATCCTCTAGTCTGCTGTTGGATCTCTGTATAATATTCTTTATTTCAGTCAGTGTATGCTTAATTTCTAGTTGGTCCTTTATCACAACCTCGAGGGTCTCATTAGATTTCTTGTAGGTCTCATTAAGTTTATCGGCAGTTTCTAGAAAATTCTTGAAAAACCTTAAAAGTATGGTTTTGAACTTTATATCCAGTAGTTTGCATTCCTCCATTTCTGTCATTTGTGTCCTTTTTCTTCGTCTCCGCATTTTTTATGCTTCCCTGTGTTGATTAAGTGGTTTTCTGTGCTAAGTGTCCACTAAGGCCCAGTGGTTCAGCCTCCCCAATTACCTGAGGTGGACACTCTTGGTGTACCCCTTTGTGGGCTTTGTGCACAGCCTTGTTGTAGTTATGCCTTGATTGTTGTAGGATCACTGGGAGGAATTGACCTCCAGGCCAATTGGCTGTGAGAATCAGCTGTGTCTGCAGTGGGAGAACTTCTGTGCTGGAGACACCCCTCTGGGGCAAGACTTGCTTCAATGGGGCTTTGGTGCTCACTGAGTCTGCCCCCTGAGTGTGTCCCTTATGGTTCCATGAAGCTGCAAACTGGATGGTCCCACTCTGACCTCTGGGTACATTGGCTACTGGATCTCTAGGGAGGTGTTAATCTAGCCCCTGCCTGAGGCTATCCAGCAAAAGCCTCCCTGCAGGGCTTGGGCGGGGCGGATCCCTCGGGATCAACAGGATGGGGCTAGCAGTTATGGCTGCTCTCAGAGGCTCCGTGTCTCAATGTCCTGGTAATTGCTGCAAGCCCCTCTGAGAGAAAGCTGCCCTTGAGTTCTGACCGATACCAGACAGTCCTGCTTCCCCCAGATGAGTCTGGGTCCCCAGAGACTCGCCCAGAACTGGAGCTCAGAGCCTGAGACTCCCTCCTGATTGAAAATGACAACTGCGCCCTCAGTTGCCAGCCCGCTCCGCATGCACCTCCGTACCTTAGTATCTTACTTCTGCACTGCACCTCCTCTGAGTCTCGGTATGTTTTTCTCTTTCCTTCTAGTTGTAGAGTTTCCACTCTGCCAGCCTTCCTGTGGTTCTGGATGATGTCCGTTCCATCTTTTAGTTGTATTTTTGAAGTGGTTGTTTGAGGCAGCAAAGTCTGGTGTTTACCTATGCCACCACCTTGGTTTCTCTCTGCATCATTATTTTTAAATGGCCTACCCCAGTGGTCTTCAAACTGTGGCCCCTTGAGTGTGGCTCTTCTACAAAATACCACGTGTGGGTGCGCACGTACAGTGTGATTGAAACTTCGTGGCCACACTCAAGGGGCCAAAGAGCTACATGTGGCTCACGAGCCGCAGTTTGCCGACCACTGGCCTAGCCCCTTCTTTTACAGCTCTCATTTCCCTTTAGAGTTACAAGGAGAGAAACCAGAGAAAGCCACTTGAGAATGGCAGAAAGCAAAGGGCGAAGCGTATGATTTGTACATAAGCCGTATCGGACTATTTATTGTGAACCTAGAGTGAACTGTCCCACTGGTACCCATTTTAATAACAATGGAATATCTGCATGCAATCTTTATGAAGCACTCTGCAAATTGCAATTAAAAGAGGCCACAGATCTTTGCACATAAAAGGAAACGTGGAAATAGTTCCTGGCGAGGCGTCCGTTCCTCACACACAAAACACCTTGTGTTTCTAATCTCATTTCATAAGGCAAATGGTTTTCTCTTTCAACAGAGGAATTCAAGGGCTCCACCTTCGTGGAGCTGATGAAGAAGGAAGGCACCACCCTGGGACTGACCGTGTCGGGCGGAGTGGATAAGGACGGCAAGCCGAGAGTCTCTAACCTGCGGCAAGGAGGCATTGCAGCCAGGTAACCTCATCCCGGGGAAGTGTGGGCAAAGGGACATGTGGTGAAATTAACTCAAACACTAAAGCTCCCCCAGAGAAGGTCACCGATTAATGAATGACAGTGGAAGTGCGATGGGGCGTGGTTCAGGGTGTGGCTTTTTTTGCCTGTGCCCGAGTCACCTGGGAGGTCATCTCAGGAGCAGCCAGGCCCTCGTGAGATTTTAACGTTAAAACCCCTGTATGGCTGCAGTCCCCAAATGTGCCACTAAACACAGATGGGCTGCGATGGGATGAGACCCTTTGATCATGTACCTGGGGAACAGATGATCCAGAGAGGGCATGGCCAGGCCCGACTCTGAGCTTCTGTGGGACAGTTTTGCGGGTCTGGCATCTTCTCCACTTTTCTACTTGTGGGATCTTGCCGGGAGCCGGTCCATGCTTGCTGTTTCAAGGGACCTGGCATATATGGCATACTGTTCTTAATATATCTGCTCACCTTCTTGGCACTATGTGTTTTAACCAAGGTCTCTGAGAAAGGTTGTTTCCCCAGGTAGGGATTTTCCCCTGAAGTTAGGGAGGGAATAAAACCTCTTAACTAAGTGCCAGGCGGGTAATTAATCACTTTAACTACGAACAATCATGCTTAAGCTACATAATCTTTACTCCCTGGAATGGAGATAAGAAACGCCCTAACCTTTGGAATAGAGATTGATAGGATTGGAATCAACTGGTATAAATACAGATGTAACGACACAGAACTTAGAACACAGAACTTAGAACTCAGAACTTAGAACACAGAACTTAGAACACAGAACTAAGAGAGACAGAACCTAGGCACAGAACCTACACAGAACGTTCTCTAGAGACAGAAGAACTTCGCTGGAGAGAACATGGCAAAAGATCCTGGACAGAAACTGGCCTCAGAACCTAGAGACAGAACCTAGCGAGAGAACATGGCAAAAGATCCTGGACTGAACCTGACTACAGAAATTGGCAAGAGAACCTGACTAGAACCTGGTGGCTGAACCTGGCTGGAGAACCTGGACAGAACCTGGCTGGAGAACCTAGCGAGGGAACATGGCTACAGAACCTGGCTGGAGAACCTGGAGAACCTAGCAAGAGAACATGGACACAGAACCTGGCTGGAGATCCGAACCAGAACTTCGCTGGAAATCCAGACCAGAACTTGGCTGGAGATCCTGGCTAGGCTGCTGAGCAACTGAACGCTGTCTCCATGTCATTCCTTCTTCGCCGACTCCGTCCACACCTTTGGGGACCCCTGGACCCGCTGGGGTTGGACCCCAGCTTCTGGCGCCCGAACAGGGACCCCTAGGTAAGCCCCACTCTTGGGATGGATAGGACTCCACCGTAGGAAGAGGGTGGATAGTCTTCGCTGACTCCGTCCACACCTTTGGGAACCCATGGAACAGGATTCCCCTAGGTAAGCTCCCCCATTGAGAACCCCCACATTCGGGACGGATAGGACTCCACCAGGGTACTGCAGACCCCCCTATAGAGGATAAGTAGGGTAAGAAGGTGGATAGTACAGAACTTAGATTGAGAAGATGTGCCATACTGAGTCCAAAGAAAGAAGACTCTGTATTGATTCTTAGATTGAGAAGATGTGCCATACTGAGTCCAAAGAAAGAAGACTTTGTATTGATTCTTAGATTGAGAAGATGTGCCATACTGAGTCCAAAGAAAGAAGACTCTGTATTGATTCTTAGATTGAGAAGATGTGCCATACTGAGTCCAAAGAAAGAAGACTCTGTATTGATCTTTAGATTAAGAAGATGTGCCATACTGAGTCTAAAGAAAAAAGACTCTGTATTGATCTTTTAACATATACGCTTGCTAGCAGAGGAATTAAGGTTACTCCCAGTCAGACAGAACGTTTTATACAAGAAATATGTCCATGCTTTTCTGAGGAAGGAAAGGTAAATGTAATGGCATGGGAGAAGGTAGGCCCAAGGAGCCTTATCCTTAACCCCACTGCAGCCTTTCCACCCTGGGAAAGTGCAGGATTGGCAAGCTCTCCCTGGGGTGATAGATCAGGACTCAGGTAATAGCGGAAAGTGCCAATCCTACTCTTAAAATGGATACAAGAGAGCATTTGGGGTTTTTCTTTTTAATGCCCGCTTTTAAAAAATAAAAAAGGGGGAATTTGCCGGGAGCCGGTCCATGCTTGCTGTTTCAAGGGACCTGGCATATATGGCATACTGTTCTTAATATATCTGCTCACCTTCTTGGCACTATGTGTTTTAACCAAGGTCTCTGAGAAAGGTTGTTTCCCCAGGTAGGGATTTTCCCCTGAAGTTAGGGAGGGAATAAAACCTCTTAACTAAGTGCCAGGCGGGTAATTAATCACTTTAACTACGAACAATCATGCTTAAGCTACATAATCTTTACTCCCTGGAATGGAGATAAGAAACGCCCTAACCTTTGGAATAGAGATTGATAGGATTGGAATCAACTGGTATAAATACAGATGTAACGACACAGAACTTAGAACACAGAACTTAGAACTCAGAACTTAGAACACAGAACTTAGAACACAGAAAGAAGAAGACAGAACCAAGAAGAAGACAGAACCTACACAGACAGAAGAACTTCGCTGGAGAGAACATGGCAAAAGATCCTGGACTGAACCTGACTACAGAAATTGGCAAGAGAACCTAACTAGAACCTGATGACTGAACCTGGCTGGAGAACCTAGCGAGGGAACATGGCTACAGAACCTGCCTGGAGAACCTAGCAAGAGAACATGGACACAGAACCTGGCTGGAGATCCTAAGCAGAACCTCTCTGGAGATCCAGAACAGAACTTGGCTGGAGATCCTGGCTAGGCTGCTGATCAACTGAACGCTGTCTCCGCGTCATTCCTTCTTCGCCGACTCCGTCCACACCTTTGGGGACCCCTGGACCTGCTGGGGCCGGACCCCGGCAGAATCTCCCTTCTCATCAGACACAGAGGTGATCTTCAAAAGGACAGCAGGCTTAGTCGAGGAGGTCTCATTTTGTGCTTGTTCCCAGTGAGCTGCAAATTGTCCGAGTTATTGCCAAAGGCAGTCTGTCCTGGACGCCGGGCAGGAGTGGGCTTGCTTTGTAGACAGATTCAAAAATCCGCCTCTGGAAGAGGGGATGGGATGGTCAGGTTCCGTTCAAAGTGAGGTTCATGTACCTTAAATCCTGGACACCAGTGCTTTTGTCCACATAATGGCCAATTAGGGTTTAGAGTGCTTGCTTTATAAAGTGTCATTTGAAATAGTGATTACTCCAGTTGGTGAACCTGTGTGTACAATTAATTTATAAGCTTAGTCCAATTGATTGCTCCATGATCTGAGGTACTGTTTGTAAAACAGGCCGGTGTCCACACAAGCATCCTGATTTCCTTTCTTCAGGCTTTTAAGAGACGTCTTTCCACACCTGCAGCCTCCTGTTTTGTAACAGTCATGGCCAGTCCGTGATGCTCGGGCTGTGTATGTCTCCAGAGGTTCATGTGAGCACGGTGGGGCGGGTGGGGGGGAATGCCATTGGCAGTTGTATTGATGCTGTAGTTACTAGTAGTGCTGTGCTGGTTGTATTATTATCAATCACCAAACATTCACTGTTTAAGGCACCTACATTTTATAGGTAGTAAACCAAACTAATTTAGGATAAGGTCTCTGCCCTAAGGGGACTTATAATCTATTAGAGGAGATATGGAATAGAAAACATGAAAAGTTCAATAATAATAACATTGCAAAAGCTCAATAATAATAACAGTGAAGAACAACAACAGGAGTTGTCACGGAGCAGTCGGCGGTTAAGTTGCCCGGTGAGTGTCAGTAAACCCGAGGTAACCGTGGCAGCATGTCCGGCAGGCTGCAGCGGATTAGGGAGGCTCACTGAAGAAGGAATGATTGGAGCTGAACTTACATAAAATAAATGAATTAGGTATTTTTATTTGGGGAGAAAATATTATTGAAGGCCCTAATTTTAAGTCCTATCATTCGTCTAGCTGCTTGCTCTTGGCTTACAAGTAGAGTTCGACTAAAAGCCCACAAGCAGCCAGGGTTCTATTATGGTGGTGAAGAGAAACAGGAATGTTACCAAAGCCTAGTATTTTTGTTATAATTTCTCCTTCACCAATACTCTTCTTTGTCACTCACTTTGTAAGCAATAAATAGCAAAACAAGCTGATGCTTTCCTTAGGAAATTCCCAACGAAGATATTGAAAGCTGTGGCATCCAAAAGACAGGTGGCAAAAATGGGGAAGAATGTGAAGAAAGGAAAAATCCTGGTGTGTCCAGGATCTGGATAATCTACCCACCCCGCCCCTTCTCCCTCCCTAGATAGCCTATCCTTTATGGCCAGAGTAACTAAAAAAAAATATTCTGTATTTTGTTTCATGATTCTCTCTAAAAATAGAAGAGGCAAAGGGTTGGGGGGAAAATCAGAGACAGCCACAGATCCAGAGCAAGACTTCTAAAAGCTAAGAGTCAGCATGAGTAAGAGGGGTCCGCGGACTCTCGCATCCAACTGGCTGTATTCCCACTCCCAGGACCAGCCATAGCTCAGGAGGCTGGGACTGCTGCTCCGTGGGCCTTGCATGATAATCATGAAGGGAACGTGGAAATGCAGTCGGACAGGCCTGTGGAGAGAATGGGTCCACTGAGGTGACATCCCCTATTTTGCAGAAGTGACCAGCTGGATGTGGGTGACTACATCAAAGCCGTGAATGGGATCAACCTGGCCAAGTTCCGCCATGACGAGATCATCAGTTTGCTGAAGAATGTGGGGGAGAGAGTGGTTCTTGAAGTCGAGTATGAGCTGCCGCCAGTCTGTAAGTAATTGTCACCCAAGGCAGAACGGCCGCACCACGTTTTTGCCTAAAAGGTTGTTTCTTATTTTCTTCCTTTTTGCCATCATTGTCTCATTACTGGGATGGCAGAGCATAGTTTCTTGATATTTAAAAATTATTTGAGCCCTAGTTGGTTTGGCTCAGTGGATAGTGTCGGCCTGGGGACTGATGGGTCCCGGGTTCGATTCCAGTCAAGGGCACATATCTCGGTTGCAGGCTCCTAGCCCTGGTGGGGGGCATGCGGGAGGCAACCAATTGATGTGTGTCTCTCACATCGGTGTTTCTCTCTGTCTCTCCCTCTCATTTCCACTATCTCTAAAAATCAATGGAAAAAATATCCTCAGGTGAGAATTAAAAATAATAGTAATTATTTGAATTGATAAGCTTGTAGCCTGCTCAGGAAGAATTGAAAAGAATGTAGATATCAATGAAATTATATAGAACTTGCTTTCTATTAAGGTGGTCTGTGAACAAAATACCACGTGCGGGCGCGCACATACAGTGCGATTAAAACTTTGTGGCCCATGTGCAGAAGTCGGTATTTTGTGGAAGAGCCGGTATTCTGTGGAAGAACCACACTCAAGGGGCCAAAGAGCCGCATGTGGCTCATGAGCGGTTTGCCGAGCCACAGTTTGCCGACCACTAACTTAGAGCAATAAACATTTTTTGGTAAATAATAAATACACAAATTAATCAACACTCAAGATAGGCATTATTATCATTATTATTCTCATTCTACAGAGGCTTAAGTTAATATCTTTCCCAAATGAGTAAGCAGCAAAGTCAGCATCTGAACTCAGGCTCCCTGACTCCAAAGTCCATATGCTTCTTCAGTGTGAGGTATACCTTACGCTATGTATTACTGCTGCCCTACCTTTAAGCTGTGCTATTCTACAACCACCGCTCCTACTATTAAGCTATTAACAGGGATACTATCCGGAGAAAATTCTTTGCTTTTCTGTCCTGGTGAGAACTTAGACTGAATATTAATACTCGATTACAATGTATTTGTTCAGCAAAATCCACTGTAGAGAGCTTGGACTGTGTCACTGCTTAAATGTCAGTTTTGCCCCTTTCTAGCTTTGTGACCTTGGACATGCTATTTAAACTCTCTGAGCTTTGGGTTTCTTATCTACAAAGTGGCTATAATAGATGTAAATTTTTTCTCTAAGAATTCAAGGCTATAATCTCGTAAAGTATTTAGATCATTACCAGGTATTCAATAAGCCATAGTACATTAGTGATTATTGCCATTTTTATTATTATTACACTGAAAGTACTATGTTTTCTTGAACTTTAAAAGAGTCTGTTTGCTTTGAAATTGCTACTTCAAACCAATGCCAAGGAGTTAAGAGAAGCCAGATATCTAGAGCTAATGCTCTTTGACTTAGCATTTTTACTCCACTGGGGATGTGAAAATCAATAAAACACAATCTCTTCCTAAAAGGAACTCTTAGGATAGCTTTCCAGGGCTAGGGGACAGTAGAGGAGATTTGCCAAGTTTATGGAGATTTGGCAAGTCCCGTCGGAAGAGGAACTTTCTAGGCAGAGCATAACGCGAGGCGGTCAGAACACAGCCCAGTGCACGGTTTGAACTACACACAGAGTGGAGTTGCTGGAGCCCACGGAGAAAAACAGAGAGGCCTGGAGGGCTGGGAGGACTGAGGCCAGCAACAGCAACAGGAATGGAACAGTGGGGGTTGTGTGAGCCTTGGCGGTGGACCTTGGATGGCATCAAGTAGGCAATGGAGCGCCTTTGAAGTCTTATAAAGCCAAGGAATGGCATCGCCAGACCTGAGTTTTTAGACTTATCACTTTAAAAACCCAAATGGAGAATATATCAGAAGCTATAAGCCGAAGGCTGTTACAGTTTTCCAAAAGAGAGGTGATATCCTGGATCAATATAGCATCCATAGAGTTAAAGGGGAGAGGGTGGGTATCAGACATATCAGGGGCTAAAACCTATCATGACTTGGTGATTATACCAGCATTTCTTTCTGCATGCAATAAGTCTGATGGGAAATGGGAAAATTATTTTTAAACACAAAAGTGTGAATTTTAGAGTAGATAGATAGGAGAGGTCTGTTCTCCTAGGATTATCTCTGTCATTTTCTATTATGTCTGGATAAATTAATAAGATCTTTGTGTTCAGCGAGGTTGAAGGAATTAATACGCCTCCCCTTCACTGTGCTCAGGCAGCCGGAGCCGCCAGCGGAGGGGGGCGGGGGAGGGGGGCACTGGCTGCTGGAGGCAGAGCCCCTGAGGCTGAGACTGCTAACTCTTTCACTAATCACGGCAATCTGAGCCTCAGCCAACCACCCCCCTCCCACCCAGTCCCCAGTCTAGAAAAAAGTGGAAGGGTGTGTGTGTGTGTGTGTGTGTGTGTGTGTGTGTGTGTGTGTTGTGTGCGTGTGATCTGATAGATGAAAGATGGAACTTTGATCTTGGGAAAACCACTTACCTTTTCTAAGATTCCATTTCTTTCTTTTTAATTTCTGTATCCTCTCTGGAGGCTATGTTTTTATTGATTTTTAGAGATAGAGGAAGAGAGAAAGAGAGAGAAGTGAGAGAGAAACGCCATCATTGATTGGCTCTCTCCCTTACATGCCTAGACTGGGGATTGAACCTGCAACCTAAGTATGTTCCCTGACCAGTAATTGAACCTGAAACCTTTTGGTGTACATCTAATCTACTGAGCCACCTGGCCAGGGCAAGATTCAGTGTCTTTATGAAAATGAAATGGTCCATCTACATAAGCTATAAAGTTCTTTTTGACTTTAAAATTATGTGATGGTTTGAGACTGTATTTAGAAAGAAAATTCCAAACAGTATCAGGTGTTTATGTATTAAAGCCTAGAGCACTGCCTTCAAATTTTTTTACCATATAACCGCTAAAGAATTTTGAAATATTATATAATCCTCAGCCATCTTTTTAGTTAACACCTAAAATTCTTTATCCATAAAGCTTAAATATTTCAAAAAGATTTATTTTTTGGCATGATTTTCTTTATATATCTTAAGTACTATTTTATTGAAACTTGGAGCTACATATTTTATGGAATATGTCCTATTTTATGGAAAATACAGCAGAGGGTTGGCAAAGGCAATCCTCACTGTTAAACCATCAGCTAAATCAGACTAGCTTTCTATCAGGAGTTCTTCATTAATTCAAATAAATGTGTTGAAGCATGTCTCTGTGACAGCCTTCTTCTCAATTCTTATTCTAAGAGAGATAGATGATGATGATGGTAGTGGTGGTGGTGGTGGTGGTGGTGGTGGTGGTGCTGGTGGGCAGGAGCAGTCTCAGATCTCTTCCGCCTGGATCATCCTGGGATTCTGTCCGAAGGAGCAGCAGCTCCCAGGGAAAGCTCTTCCAGTGGCAGTGGTAGTGGAAAAACACTTCCAATCACTGCTCACACTCTTAACATCCCATTGGCCAAAGCAAGTCACATGGGCAAGCCTAACATAATGAGGTGGGAAAGAACACAACTCCGATTCCCCTGTTCAGGTAGGAATTGAGGAGTCAGGGAAATAGTATATAATTTAGAAAAATCTAATTTGCCATAGTAAATTAATATGAATACACATGTAGTACATATAGAAACAAAGGACAACAGTACAACTAAAATACCAAGGAGAAGTATTTCTTCACTGTGAAATTGGTTTCTACCTAGCCCTTCTATGTACCAGATATGATTCTTTGGGGAAACCATTTAATTGGGTGTTTATGTCCACATACACACATGTAATGAGTAAAATTCACATGGCAATATAAAATATCTTGGTTCTGAATATAAAAATGTAGTCACCCAGAACCAATCATACAAATAAAAATTATGAAGACCAGCCTGGCTAGTGTGGCTCAATGGTTGAGCATTGACCTATGAACCAGGAGGTCACAGTTCAATTCCCAGTCAGGTCACATGCCTGGGTTTCAAGCTTGATCTGCAGTAGGGGGCATGCAGAGACAGCCGATCAATGATTCTCTCTCATCTGATGTTTCTATCTTTCCTTCTCTGTTCCTCTCTCTGAAATCAATAAAAAAATTATAAAGACCAAATCTATTTCATTAAGTATATTAAAATGTAGTCAACATTCACATTTACCTTTGTAAATAATGAACATCAATAGTGTGGATAACCTAAAGCTGTAAATAATCCTAAAAGTCTTTTTATTAACGTTAGATCTGATTGTAAGATTTGGTGGTCAGCTAGATTTAGTTCAAGCAAAATTAAAATCACAGTGTTTTGCCTTCCACAGCAGACACCCAGCCAACAAGGACAGGTGGCCCAGAATTAGATTTAGTTGTATATAATTGAAAGTTGACTTAATGATTAAGTGAAATAATATTTGCAAACTACTTTGCAGAATTCCTGGCACACAGTAGAAGCTCATGAATTATTTCTCCCTGTATCTTTTCCTTTTCTCCCTTACCAATAGAACAAAAAGCTCATGTGCTTAATCGGTTTCTTAGAAGTGGATCATAGAAATAAGAAAACATTTGGTTTGAACTCAAATTGTTTATGGAATTAAATCTGTATCTCAATGGTTTTGGCTAGTTGTATATACTGACCTAGCTGATTAGAATAAAATGAAATTCCCCTGAGAGCGAGAATATGACATTTAATTAAATCAGCAATGCACAAAAACATTTGGTCAGCGGTAGGTTTATGTTTTTCGGCAGATCCAAGTTCTTATTGTACTTTATGTCCCAGCCAGATATGTGCAGCTTTGTGAATTTAGCTGAGTGCTTTACATAATCATGTCCGTTCCTTCGAGGATTCAGAATTTCTAATAAGATAATTGTAGTTAATACTTAATTAAAGCTATCTCCTATTTCTGTTATGGCAAGAAGTATTATTTTTTAAATGCCTTAAATCATGTCTATATATTTCTTGTTGATAGTTTTATACACTATAACCTTCAAGATCTAGTAACAATGTAAAAATGTCATTGATCATGAAAATAACATTAGATAATTAGATATCATTGTAAAAATTTAATACAAGGATCTAAGACCATCAAATTATATACTTTGCAAACTTTTCTGTCTCCATGAGTAAAACCATTTTTATATCCTAATGATGAAATGTTAATTTGTGGATTTTTTTGTTTTTAATTCACCAGTAGTGCACTATATAACAAAATTATTCATCAGTATTTTTTTAAAGCAGTCTTAAAGAATAGTGTAGTGACCACACCTCCACACAATTTATAACCTCATACTGTGTGTAATATAATTAGAGATTGCAACTTGGAAAATGTAATTTCATTTTTTGACATGAGAGCAATAAACAGGCAAACATGATATCAAATAAAATTAAGTGGATCTTTATTTCATTAGTCAGTAGTAATATTTTGAATGTACTTAGGATTTCTTTTGCCCTCCAAGTTTCATTTGTGTTGCTGATGTTTTTGTTTAATTGCTTTGCATCATGTCAAAAAATCTATTTGTATCAGCCTAATCTTTTAATAGCAATTTGAGAATATTACTTTTTCTTCCTTTGCTAGCTGCAAAAATAAATACATTACTTGTTTCATTAGTTTTACACAAATCACATTGTTTTTGCTTTTCACAAAGGAAAAACGATTCTATTTATCATATGAAAAGTGTCTCTCTTGTTCTATGGAGTTTTAACAATGCGAGTATTACCCTCTACCTAGAAATTGGCTACACAAGAGAAAAAGAAGTGCCTGTGATTTTGATTCCACTTGAATCTGTATGAGTTGTGTGTGCAGATGGACTCTTTTATGGTATTTGTATGTTATTCCAGTTATTTTTTCTAACATTTCTTTGAAAACAAATTATTGCTGTTTTAATACTCAAAGCAATAATTATTTGCAACAGGAATCTGCAATATTACATGCCACATCAAATAATATAGAAATGTTATTATGACTTAAACTTATGCTGGCCTGTCTCTTTTCTACATTCAGCTGTCCAAGGATCGAGTGTTATTTTCCGAACAGTGGAGGTCACATTACATAAAGAAGGCAATACCTTTGGTTTTGTAATACGAGGTAGGTGATGGTTTAATAAACCGTCATATATTTTTGGAGAATTTAAATATTGGGAGTGAACTAGAAAGTCATCCTCAAAAACCCTGATCTTTCCAGCATATAAAGTCGCTTTATAATATTTGCACCCATTCTTTCTTTCTTTTTTATTGAATTAATTGGAGTCACACTGGTTAAGAAAATTATACGGGTTTCAGTGGCACAGTTCCATAACACATCATCTATCAGCTGTATTATATGTTCACCACCTAAGTCAAGACTCCTTCCATCACCAGTTACCCCCCTATGGCTCTCCTCTCCCTCCCCCCCAATCCCTCTTGCCCCAGCAATCACCACACTGTTGTCTGTATCCATAAGCTCTTTCTCTCCTTCTTTTCTTCTTTTTTGCTCAATCCCTCCATCTCCCCAACCCCTCACCACCCCCTGACAGCTGTCAGCCTGCTCTCTATCAATGAATCTATCTCTATTTTGCTTGTTAGTTCATTTTCTTTAAAGAAATAAAGCAGCAGTGAGTGGGAATCAAAGTGGAATCCAAATGACCTAGCTTTATTTTCAGCCTGTTAACACAGAGCCAAGAAGTCACGTCTGTAAACCTTATCTGTTCACAGTCATCCTTCTTATTTGCCACTTTTCAATCACCTTTTACCTTCCCTTTATACTCTTCTATAGCCCTGAGTCAAAACTGTAGATGAGTGATGGTTGCCAGAGGGAAAAGAATAGGGGGATGAGCAAAAAAGAAGTGGAATAAGAAGAACAAATTATAAAATAAATAAGTCACAGGAATATAACGTAAAGCATAGGGAATATAGTCAATAATATTGTAATAACTTTGCATGGTGCCAGATCGTTATTGCACTTAATCATGTTATAAATTTGTTAGGTATATAGATGTTAAATAATTATGTTGTATAAGTTAATGTACTATATATATATATATTACTATATATATAGTACATTATCTCTAATTTAATTTTTTTAAAGATAAAGAACAAAAATTTTAAAAAGTCATGTTGTCATAAATCCCTGATTTCATAATTTAAATAAAGATTATTTTTTCCCTTGGGGAAAAACGTTGATGTGATGAGTATGACTTGATTTGATTTAATACACTAGAATTAAGCAACTTTTATTCTCTTATTTTAATACATTTTGTTATAGCTTTCTAAAGATGAATTGATAATCTAATCCCTTAGCACCTTTGTACATCAGCTCAACTCATCTTATTATGGAATGAGATGACATTAATAATAAATATTTTGAGTGATTCCAACTTGTCTATAAAACCCTTAATTCTGAGCTGTAATTTTGGATTTTAACATTCTATTTTTCTCAGCAGCTTTATTTCTTAAAGACTGCACAGACATTAACAACTCATAAATCCTAGTGTGAAAGTGAGGGAACTATATATGCACCAGGAATCTTTAAAGATTTGACATTTCTTGATTTATTTTTATCTGTTATATGTTGTATTTCATCAGAGTCAAAATTCTACCCAATTTATTAAAACATTAATTAAAAGTAACTAAATATCTTAATAAATTTACAAACATCAAGGAAAAAATGAGATGTGTTCAGTCCTATAGACTTACCTTAAATGACTGAGCATTAGATTTAAGCATTAGATTTCATTCTGTGTTAGTCATGTAGCAAATGGATCAATCAAATATTTATTAAAGATTCGTCAACATGTCCGCATAGGGCCAAGTACTCTGGAGTCATAAGACAGGACCCCTATCTACAGTCAGTTACAGCTCGGTGAATTTTGGACATGAGTTGATTAAGTGCCCAAGCGAGTGGTAAAGAAAATGGGCATCGAGGAGCTCACTGAGTGGTTCAGACCAGTTGTGATTGCGTTTTCCTGACCAGGTCCTATTTTTGGATGAAACAAGAAGATCGATTCACCCTCATCTGTTACCTTAACCATTTCCAAATTTCTGTGTAAAAGAACTAGTAAGTGAATGTAATGAAAAGTCAGTTTACAAGTAATTTTAGCACGAGGTGGTGTATACAGATCTGTTTCTGCAATATAGGTATGAAAGGAGGCACTTGATCACATGCCTACACGCCTAATTATTGGAAAGCTGCAGTGAAAGTACTGCTGGTTCAAATATTTATCACTAGTTGCTGTTTGGTTAATCAATAACCAATCAAATTGCTAATGAAAAAAGCTAAACCAACAGTAATTTAGCATCAAGAACTGAAAAAAAAAGTAATTGAAATCCACAGCCACCTCAAGACAACTGATGATATAATGTAAACAAAATCCCCTTCACACAATTTGCAGGAATTTTGAACATCTGTCTGCGTGTGCATGCCTCGTAAGAGTTCTTTTGTATGCGGCTGGAATACTACCTGGTACATTGTAGGCACTTAATAAATGAAGGAATAAATATAGACTGTTGCCTAGATTTATGTGGACATCAGATTTCTTAGTATTATACTAATTTTTAAAATTTATTTATTGTTGAGATTATTACAGATGTCTCCCATTTCCCTCCCTTTGTACCCCTCCACCCAGCCCCCCGTCACACCCTAGGCCTTCTTCACACTACTGTCTGTGTCCATGGGCTATATGGACATATATGTTCTTTGCATATATGTTCTTTGGTTAATCTCTTCCCATCCTCTCCTCCCCTTCACTCTGAGAGATGTCAGTCTATTCCATGCACCCATACCTCTGGACCTACTTTGTTCATCAGTTTATTTTGTTCACATATAAGTGAGATCATGTGATATTTGTCTTTCTCAAAATGAACCCATTTTAGTTTATGGGTGACACATTTTTGTAGGCTTTAATAACTCCCTTACATTGGTTAAACATAAAAGTTTGTTTAACTTTTTTGCATAATTTTTCAATGAAGGACAAATAAACAACTTATATCAGTTTGAGATCTGTCTGGAGGGTCCTCCATGCTGAAAAAGGGGCCACCATCCACCCTTTGGGAATCATTGGTTAATCTCAAAAAGAACTGCAGAGGGAGACAGTCGGTAAATGTCATCATGGCAGATAATAGTTTACAGTTGCATAAATATTGAGCTAAACTTAAATCAATGGAGACGACCAGGACATTCAGAAAAGAGGGGAAGATTTTGCAGATGGAGCATATTCATTTAGCTCAGGAGAATTCTTTCTTAACCAATTAAAGTGGGTCTTAGAACAATAAAACCGGCTTTGAGCTACTGAATGGAATTACATTTCTAATGGTATGTCACAGGTTCTAAAAACCTTGGCTCACCAAACAATAGAACCTTTCATCCATAGAGTGAAAAATGATGTTCTGGCCTAAATCTTGGAGAATTAAATTTCAGTTAATTCCCTTACCACCAAGCTACAGGAGTTGGTTTGGGCTGATAGGAATATCACTCTGCCATAAGTTACTTTTCACTTTAGACCAGGAAACTTTTTCTAGTCACTCTCAACTATAAAATTGTAGGTAGATATACTCATCTAACGTATGGAGCCTGATATTTGGATTTGGTTTGCACAGTGGCCCTGCCTGGCATTGATACTTTTACAAAAATATCCCAGGTAGGTGATGCTAGAATGCAGCCAGGATTGAGAGTACCACTAGTCTCCAAATGGTTTCTGTTTTGCTTGGCATCACCAAACTTCTGGAACCTAAGCCAGTCACTAAATTTCGTTCATCATTTCAAGTACTGATAAAATGTCATATATCATGAAATTTAGAGCTATCTCTCTCATACTTTAATATGCATTCACTGGTATATATTTGAATTTAGACCTCCAAATCAAAATTATGGAAAAGTTTCTTGCTGTCTTCAGGCCCAATCCTTTTCTAAATCAATACTGCTTCTGGGGAAAGCAAACCTATCTATTAATGATCACCTTGCAAATGAGAAGTTACATAATAGTATTTTTCTCTTAGGCTAGGTTCTTTTTTAAAAAAAAAAATCTTTGTTGCTAAAAGTATTACATATGTCCCCTTTTTTGCCCATTGATCCCTTCTAGCCTGCCCCATGCCCCCTGCCCCAGGCCTTTGCACACTATTGTCTGTGTCCATGGGTTATGCATACAAGTTCATAGGTTGATCTCTTCCCACCAACCCACCCCCGCCTTCCCTCTGAGATTCAACAGTCTATTCCATGCTTCTATGTCTCTGGATCTATGTTGTTCATCAGTTTACGGTCTTTAAGTTGACCTCCCTACCTGTGCCAAGCTTGGGAAATGTCAGTCTGTTCTACCAGGCAGACATTAAGGAACGACTACTTGGCAGTACATTCATATTAATCACATAATGGCAACTAGAGACCACCCAGATGGGCAGCCAGCGTGGTGATGGACAAGGAAGTCAGGTCAGATGGTTGACAGTTAAGAAACTGGAAATGTTCAGCCTCAAGAAGATGAGACTTAGCAGTATAATCACTATTTTCAACTTTCAGGAAACACTTGTAGAAGAGAGCATACTTTTAAAATATATATATTTTTATTGATTTCAGAGAGGAAAGGAGAGGGAGAGAGAGAGAGATAGCAACATCAATGATGAGAGAGAATCACTGATTGGCTGCCTCCTGCACACCCCCTACAGGGGATCTAGCCCACAACCTGGGCATGTGACTTGACCGAGAATTGAACTGTGAACTCCTGGTTCATAGATCAACGCTCAACCACTGACCCACACTGGCTGGGTGAGGATATACATTTTTCTTTTACTGCTGTAGATAACAGAACAGAGATGCAAGGATGAAAGTTGAAGGAAGCTAGATGAAAGATGAATATTAAGAAGAACCTTCTGGTGTCTGTCCATCTGTGGAATGGGCTGCCTCCAATCTAGTGAGCAGAACAAGGGGTGGGTCTCGAGTGGATGCTGGGGGAGCACAGATTAAACAAGTTGTACAAAGGGGTCCTAGATAAAAGGAGAATTTTCAATAAATTACCTTCTATCTCAAAGCTTCTATATTTCTAAAAATTATTGATGAGTAAGATTGTATACAAAGTTAAAATTCCCATTTAGCTTTGCGATTGGCTTGACATAGTCTGCCAAATCTACCCCCGGAATTTTGAACATGCCAATTTAATGGAGGTCACTTCAGCCACTTCAATTTTCTTTCTTTCTTTTTTAAATACTTGGATGATTTTCTTTTACTTCAGGTTTTTCTTCCTGTTGTAGACCTACTCACCTGCATTACAGCCCAGGTAATTAGCACCTGGTCTCCCCACCGGCACTTTGTTTATAACTGGCAGCTGTTCACATCGGGCTAGGACTTGATAATGCACTGATTCCCTTGTCACACCAGTAGTTCAGTATTTTATGTCACCTGTAATTACAGTCATATATTTATTGAGAGGTGAAGAAATGATGACTTCTAACACACTCCATGTAAAATGAATAAGGTTTTTGAGGCGACTGTATGCCAGAAGAAAAATAATTTGCATTTTCCTCCACACATCAACAAAAGTTCTCAGCTGGCATTTTGTAAGTGAAGGTTTTTAGTGAAAGGAGCTGTATTTCTTTTCGTTGCCAGGGGGAGCACACGATGACAGAAATAAATCTCGTCCCGTTGTGATAACATGTGTTCGTCCTGGAGGGCCTGCTGACAGGTAAGCTCCATCTTTCTGTGTCACTATCCAAACAGATTAATAAAGCTTAGGGACTTTGGCAGAGACGTTGATGGGTTATAAATTTCATAGCATAAGATAGATAGTAACTAAATGTGTGAGAATGTGAAAAGTGAATTAGTTTAGGCTGCGGAATCAAAAGAAAGGCTTGACTCTAGATGCCACACGTACTGCCCTGTCTTTGGCAAGTGAGTCAACAGTTCTGAGCTCAGTTTCCTCTTTGTGAAAGGGAGAGAACAGCTAGCTTTCAAGGTTTTCCGTTTTATCAATGACTGTTGCTTTGGGTGCATTGCAGGGGACTGGCCGTGCTGTGGCTCTGGGATAAAAGGCAGCTGGCACCTTGAAGGCAGGCACTTGAGGGGCATCAGCTCCTATTGCTAATCTCCTGTCCTGGAAAGACAGGTGGTGGTGGTCCGAGTCTTACTATTAGCAGCATCCTTATCATTATCATTAGTCCCTTTGATGATGATGAGGTATGTCAGAGGGAAGTAATTTTTAATAAAATGAAGTATTGTTGGTCTCTAGTGCTTTCTTTCCCTGGTTAATTTGACTACCTGAAGGATAGCTCCTTCAGCTTTCATCTCATAAACCTTGGGGGGATCCCAAGTAAAATCCCAACTTAGGTATCTCAGGAGATACTTATCTTTGTATTCATTTCCACAGCAAAAGCGGAGCCCATAATGGTGGGGGAACACAACTCCTGCCATTACATATTGTGGAAAGAAAGGTGGGAGAAAAGTGCACTGGTGACCCCTGGCCCCACTATGTTTCAGACCAGGAAAATTGTTTGAAACCTTTCCTTAAGCAATAGAAATGGTGATAGTAATCAGTGCTACTCATTGACACTTACCATGTGCCAGAAACTGTGCAAAGTGCTTGGCAGACATTACCTTATATAATCCTCACAACCACCCATGAAATGAAGTATTTGTATCTACAGTTACAGGCGACAAAACTGAGGCCCATCATGGTTACTGACTTCTCAACTAGTACATCGAAGAGCTAGTGTAGGTTTATTTTCCTTCAGTGCTCATACTGTGAGCTCAGATATTTTGAAAAAGTTAATATTTAATATAAAATAAGAGGATATGAAGACACTGGTTTTTCACTTGTGCTAAAATATATTTGTTTCCAGAGAATAATACAAAGTCAAATTTTCCAGGGAAATGTTGCCTTTTTCCTGTGGGGAAGCATGAGACTTGGTTGGAAAGTTTGTAAGGAGGACATTCTGAGAAAAGGGAAGTGTGTGGAAGGCCGCCTGCCCTGTTTATCGGAATTCCGGCTTAGGGGAGACTTGGGGAGTGTTGAAGGCGGCGCCTCTGATTATTCCTTGATCTTTCCAAACAAGTCTGTGCACATGCAGACCCCCTGGTGTTTACTTAATCCCTTATGCTTAATCCCTGGATGCCCTTGCCTAGAGGACAATGTAAGCACATGTGTCCTCCCAAGATTACTCACCCTACTGATTGTATCTAAAGATAAAAACTGCAATAAAAGCCTAACGAGACAGGCAGTCGGGTCTGTCTAGTTACGGTAGCCAGACAGTCCCTTAGCTCTCTCTTTCACAGCAAATGTTGTGTTGGAGTAATCCACTCATCCATCGCTCAGGGTCTGCTGGTCAGCCCCAGAATTTTCCCTTCTCATGCTTTTTCGTTTCTTGATTACTACCATTTAGAGTTGGAGTCAACAGAAACATCAGAAGCAGGCTAGTTTGTGAGCAACAGATTACCAAATTAATGTAGGACTAAAGGAAATCTAAGCATTTAAGATAAACATTTAAAGTCAAAACAGTTAGAGCATTATATAGCTGAGAGATAGTTAAGAGGTTGTTTTTACTCTTCCCAAATCCTAGACTTGTGCCCCCCTCCCCTCCCCAATTTGCTTTTCTCATCGCTGTGACCATCCCTGAGGCAGGATGGTTATGATCTGGAAGCCGTGCCCTAGTGGTGTCACTAGGTCCTGAGGGATCTCTCCCAGTGCCCTGAGTGTCTGTGGTCCCAGCAGGGAGAATGGTATTTGCCTGACTTTTCCAGTGAATGTGAAACTGAATCAATTTAACGATCGCCAAATGGCCTTATAAATCAGTAGGAAATTTTATAGACTAGGGAAATTTTTCACCAGCATTCCTGTCCTGCTTGGGTTCACTGGTAATAAATTGAATGGAACTAGCAGGCTTTTATGCTCACCTGGCTTTGGGAAAATAGGTGAATGCTATTTCCTGGACTCTAATAAATCATCTTCAGACATGTGGGCAAAAATCCAGAAGAGAGAAATGTGCCCTCATTACTCTTGTACCCCAAGAGTTAACTGCGGGTGACTTGGTTACTTGCTAATGTGTAGTTATTCTCTTATTACTGATTTTCATATTGCAGCAATTTTCTGTTCAGGGCTACCTCTTTACTCTCCTACTGTCACACTTGAGGCTTAAAAGGAAATGCAAATGGAGTGGATGGTAGAGCGTGTATGAAAGAACCATGTTGGCTAAGTGACTATTAATGCTAAGTAAGCCCCGTCATGCTAAATTGCTGGAGACTGTTCCTCTGTTCTCCCTTCAGAGAGGGCACAATTAAACCTGGCGACAGGCTGCTCAGTGTGGATGGAATTCGACTCCTGGGAACCACGCATGCTGAAGCCATGAGTATTCTCAAACAGTGTGGACAAGAAGCAACGCTGCTGATAGAATATGACGTCTCAGTAATGGGTATGTCCCAGTCCTTCCGTTATGATCCCTAAGCTGTAGTACACGTCATCGTCCATCCCCGATAAACTACTTTGTAAAGAGAATGATCTGCTATGTCCTCCTGGAGCAGACAAAATTTCATCAATACCATAGCATAACTCTGTTTGTGTTCAGGAAGAGGTGAGTGGTTCCTTTCAGCAATTTAGAGTTCTTGTGTCAATAGACTCTATAAGGAGGTCTCATTCTGTCAGCGTGTTTCACCTAGCAATCAGCATTTATATGGGGATTACCCTTTGGCAGGAACGTAGTTTTGCCTTCCAAAGCACAGAAATAGCATTGTTAACTCAGGGGATATTTTTTTCTTTTACTCCAGAGTAAAAGTTCCCAGTAGGGGATTCCTTTCTTTTTTTGTAATGTCACAATATGAAGCCAGATAATCAGAATTAATGGAAATTGCCATTTCATCATCAGACTTAGGGACAAAGAAAGGAAATGGACATGTAATGTCATTGATTAAAATCAGAAGTTGATTTTAATTCTTTCTTCCTTCCTTCCTTCCTTCCTTCCTTCCTTCCTTCCTTCCTTCCTCCCTCCCTCCCTCCCTCCCTCCCTCCCTCTTTCTTTCTTTCTTTCTTTCTTTCTTTCTTTCTTTCTTTCTTTCTTTCTTTCTTTCTTTCTTTCTTTCAATAGTGATTCCAATAGAAAGTAACTTTATTTCTACCCTCATAACTATAATATAACTGGGAAGATAGTCTCATGTGGCTTTTAAATGTTAAGAGAGGGCCAAAGATTTGTGTCATGTTGGCTAAGGCAGAAAACTTATGAGAGAGTCAATTGAAACCCCGAAATTGAAGCTTAAATCGTATTGTAAGTACTTCCTACAGTTATCAGACTTGATTATGTGACCAGACTTTACCCATGAGTTTATGCACAGAAAAAGAAACATATTCTGTAACTGCAAACTCCTCTATTTCCCACTCTGTATGATTCATGTAGAACAGTGTTGCTTGAAAGTATTCTTAAACTGCCTCCTAGCATGAAATGTCTTAGGTCTGAGGTTCCCTAAGGGCTTAAACTGTGGTTCTCAACCTTCTGGCCCTTTAAATACAGTTCCTCATGTTGTGACCCAACCATAAAATTATTTTCGTTGCTACTTCATAACTGTAATGTTGCTACTGTTATGAATCATAATATAAATATCTAATATGTAGGATGGTCTTAGGCAACCCCTGTGAAAGGGTTGTTCAACCGCCAAAAGGGTCGCGACCCACAGGTTGAGAACCGCTGGCTTAAAGTGTGAGACCTAAGAAGTTCTTAGCAGGATAAATAGGATGATATGCCCTAAATATGAAGGAACTTTTCTCCCTTCGTTCATCCTTCCTTTATCTTGTCTTCCCTCCCTCTTTCTCTTTTTCTTTTGTTATGTGATTTTTAAATTAGATTTTTAGTTAGATGATTTGGCTTCTGTTTTCAATTCTACTGATTTCTAGCTGTAATTCAGACTATGTTACTTATTTCCCCATGCCTTAGTGACCTCACTTGTCAAATAGGGACTAGTAATGCCTATTTTAAAAGGTAGTTGTGCAAACAAAAATAAATTATACAAGTAAATATATTTTAAATGTTGATACAATACATTGTTAACATTAAAAACTGAAACAGATGTTTGGCATATTTAACTCATTAGTTCAGTCTAAAAGTATTTATTGAGCTTAGTGGGAAGTACCAGGAATGCAGAATAACAAACCAGTCCTGTCATTATGAAGCTCACGAGTGTTGGGGGAACAGATAGTAAACTGTAATTTACCAAACAAGCAATCATAAAATGTGATCATTACCTACCATGAAGGGCATAAATGGGATTCTGTAATAGGGAATAAGGGCAGGCACAGGTGAGGGTTGGCAGGTTCCAATAATAGGGTAGTCATTGAAGAGGTGACAGGTAAGCTAAAACCTGAAGGCTTAGAAAGAACCAGCTCCCAAACTGAAGATAAAAATAGCCTGTTAAGGCCTGCAGTCTACCTCCCCAATGGGGGTGAGCAGCTCTTCCGAGAAGATTCCTCCCTGTCTCATTATTGCCAGTTGGGAGGGGATGAGGTGACTCACCTGTCTGCCTTCTCCCCAACCCACACTCACATTCTTAATGATGTTTGACAGTTTTCACACTCCAGAGCTCTCAGATATCCCCCTAATATAGGGGAAAGTAGGCCATCAGGAAGGAAACACATTAAAAGTTCCTCTAAGTTGCTAGATATAAGACTAATATACAAAACATTTCTCTGTAGCAACCAAAAACAGAAAGTTAAATTTTTTTGTTTTGTTTTTTTTTAATCCTCACCCGAGGATATTTTTTTCATTGCTTTTTAGAGAGAGTGAAAAGTAGGGAGGAAGGGAGGAGAGAGAGAGAGACAAACATCAATGTAAGAGAGACACATCAACCAGTTGCCTCCCTCATGTTCCCTGACCAGAGCTGGGTATCAAACCTGCAACCCAGGTACAGCCCTTGACAGGGAATTGAACCCATGATCGTTCAGTCTGTGGGCTGATGCACTAACCACACAGCAAAACCACCAGGGAAGAAAGTTAAATTTTAAGATACCATTGATAAGAAAAATAAAATAATACGGTTACTATAAGAAATAAATATAACAAAAGGTATATGAGTCTATTAAGATGTATAAAGAATACAGAAATAAATGAAGACCTAGATAGTAAAACCTTAATATATGGGTTAATTTGGGTGAGGGGGTGTCCGTTAAACCTGAAAGTTTGTTACACAATAAAGTAGATTTTCCAAATATATGTTTAAAAATTGACAAATTAGTTAGTTTATCTGTTTTTACTTAGGGAGATGTGTTTGTGTAATGAAAATTAACTATGTATGAAAAGTTAAATTTCACAGAAAAATTTTCTATATGTATTACAGTAATTTAAATTTATACTGAATAGCTCCATTAAATGTGTGCATTCACCAGTCACTGCCAATAAACAGATGCACACAGCTGGGGCACATAGGAACATCAGCCTGCACACATTAAAACTGCTGCAGGAAGTCACCCAAGGAACAAAAAATCAATTACCATTCTCGATGTAGTGTGATCATATGCCAATCATAGCTGAACATTGTTTACCAGCAAGAACTCTTGGATTTAAACATGTACAGTTGTAGACATGTAATATTTATTTATGTCAGCGAAATTACTACAGTGTTTTTTCCAACATTTGCTAAAATGTTTCCAACATTTGCTAAAATTTGTCAAAAATAATGATGAATTAATAACAAAAAACAGTTAATTTAATTATAAGCAAATCTTGGTTTAAAGGATTTTAAAACTAGCAGGGTGTTCATTTTTCCATATGACATAAGGACCAGACATTTTATACATTAAATTTGAAGTCTGCAAAATCAAGGGTTTACTGTATCATGTTCTTAGATGAGAAATATTAATATCTGAAAGATGTCACTTCTCTCAAATGTATTAATAAATTAATTCTATTTCAAGTCTCAGAAGGATCTTGAGGTCAGGGGACCTTAATAAGCTCTTTCTAAAATGTACATGGTGTAAGAAAGCTGGGAGGAACGAACAGCAATATACTTTGGAACAATACAAAAGCAGAGAAATTTGTTCTAAGCAATGTCAAGACTTATTCTAAAATTGTGCCATTAAATGTATATAATATTAATGTGGGGTAAAGAGACCAACAGAAGAAAATGGAATGGCTAGAAGGCCACTGCAGATATAGAAACAGAGGTATGGTCTTACATCAGTGGACAAAGATTGAACTAGTCAGCAAATGATGCTGGGTCAATTAGCCTCATGGGGAAAAGTCAATTAAATTCCTACTTCATTTCACATCCAAAAATAAATGTTGTATTTATGTAACCATTTCCCAACAGACTGGTATTATAAATAACTGGAATGAATATCCTTTTACCCAAATTTTTGCCTGTATTTCTGATTTCATTAAGTCAGACTATATTTATTTTTAAAATAGCTGATACATAATTTTAAATTGTCCTCCAGGAAGATTACACTGCAGGGTGGAAGGCAAAAGTAGGTTTACAGTTGTTTGTATGGAAAATAATAAAATAAGTAATAAATAATAATGCAAGAATAAACTTTGTGTTTCACATACTCACCACTGTAAACCCACATTTGCCCTGCCTTGTATTCTATATTACTACCAGCAGTATTTTAAATGTACCGCTCCCACTAGAGCTTTGCAACATTGACTGTTATTATGTTTAATCATTCTGATGTTAAGTAAAAGTTGCATTTACATTTTAATTTACCTTTTTAAAAACTTATAGTGCAAGTGAGTATTTTTTCGTATGAACACTAGCCATTTTCATTTGCTCTTTTCTGCTTGTGTTCTTTATTCATTTTTCTGATGCAAGTACCCTTACTTGTTTTTTTTTTAATTGGTTTGTATAAACTATTTATATGTTAAGGACATTAGTTTTTTGTAAAAACTTTTCTCGGTAGCTTATTTCCAATATATTTTATTTTGAGATATTGAAGTTTATTTTCTTTTGGTTTTGGTTTTTCTTTTTATCGTTGGATCTAGGATTTTGCTTAGGATTTAAATAATATTTTTCTAAATAGTTACCAATATACCTGGATCAGTTAAAAAAGAATCTATCACATACCCACTGATTAGTGATTTTTTAAAGTCGTACATTAAGTTTTTAAATATACTAGTCTAGCTCTGGGCTAGTTGTTCTCTTTGTATCCAGTTCCACACCAGAATTCAGGATAGGACTTTTGAATTAAAGTCTTAGCATAAGGGTTCTAATTACCATAAAAGGACACAGATTTATTTTTTGAAAAAGTATTTACCTACTACATTTGTTGCAATATTCTAAGCTTTGTTAACTTTATATAGCAAATGACCAAACTTTTTTTTATTTCTTTTTAGTTCCTTTTTCTCTCTTTTATTTTTTTTTTACCACTCTTGTGCTCACTCTCTCTCGCTCTCTCTCTCAACTTTTTCCTTTCTTACTCTGAACCTCACTCTCT